GGCCTGTCCATCCAGTCTAAACATACCTGAGCTATGTATATTATTTAGTCTTCATTCTACTAGCAATTAAGACACAAAATTTTAGAGCTGGAAAATCAATTAGTTTTTCTCTTTGAACACCTTCATTTTATAACAAAAACCACTAAGGCTTAAATGGATTAAGGGTTAAATGGATTAAGGGTTAAATGGATTGATTGAGGCTAAGGTCTATGATTTCCTCAGGTGTATGGGAGGTGTGGGTCAGAGAGAAATAAGCATTTTACTATAGTTTAAATTTAGTAGACCCTCTTTGAGTCTGCATTTCACTATAGCTTCATTTCATGAAGTAAAATAGTAACTTCATGAAGACACTCATCTGATCCAATAACATATCATTTAACAAAGTGAGGAAAGTCATCTGTTTTCTTACCAAGCAGGAAATTTGGAAGGCAGGCTGCATTTAGGGTCTTAAGTGGATGTGATGACTGCTGTCACTATGGCAACAAGTTGTTCATTCAAAGATTTTTTAAATGTCTTAATGATCTTTCCTAATATATCTCTAAATTCAAGCATGTCTTTAGCCAGCACTTCCCTATATTTGTTTACTTCAGTGACCCCTCTCTTTGGTCTTTTCCCAGCCTAATCTAGCCTACTCAAAATAAATAAATGCTTTTAAACCATTATTTTCATTGGTATCGTTATTTTTGAATGTCTATTCATGCCAGGCACTATTTATATGGATGATACCTACCTTGTGAGACAGAAGTTACTATCCCCATTTTACTTGTGATCAAACTGAAGTTAAAGGAGGTCATATTTTTGCCATGTGCTTGGGAATTAGTACATGGAAGATGTAGCTTTTAGCTCTGGCTTTTCCAATCCAGGAACCTATGCCCTTTTTATTCTGCCAAGCTCTCACTCTCTAGTGTTACCAAAACCTTTGGATACCTGTTGTCCAGAGAGATCACCAAACCAACTACATGTAGCCTTAAACCTCCTTCAACATGTTGCCAAACTCCATATATCTCAACATAAATCATCCATTCTTATTTCTGAGTATTTATCATAGTACTCACCTGTAGCACTATTCCTTCTCTTCCCTTTAAAACCCAATTTCATTAATTCTTCAAACCCAACATAATGATTATGTCCCTCCAGGAGTGCTTCCCTTGGTTATTATACACACCAGTCATTGAGCCTTTAAACTGCCTCCTCTCCATATCTTGAGCTCGCTGTTAGTTCAGTTAGTCCTGAAATAAGATGTGCAGTGCAACTGTTTGCGCATTGATTTATCTTTCCAATGATTGCTGTTTTAGTGACACAGTACACACAAAACTTTATAACTGTGACGATGTTTCAGAGGTTGATTGTAGCCAGTCATCAATTATCTTGCTCTCTCCAGCTCTATGTCTGTGGAACCAGGTAAAAGAAATCAAAGATACAGTGTCTAACCCGACCCTGGTGTTAGCTTTTATTCATAAACCCTTTATTCCAAGTAGGGATTAAGAAAATTGTCATTGTGAATGTTTCACCAATTACATGAGTGTGTATCAGAATTATTATATGAGTGTGTATCAGAATTATTAATACACACAGAACTATCTGAAAGAAAATTTATGGAACATGATATCATAGACTTAATAGTAGGCTTTCAAATAATTATATGCATAAAGACACAGATGTTTTTCAAAGGTTAATATGGAGAGTTCATATTTATATAGCATTACAGTAAATGAGATTACTTATAAATAAAATTTTCAGAAATTCAAAGCATTTCTCATCTTAAGCCAAAATTATTATTTTAAACATTTTAAGGTTTGGGGATAAAAATAACTCCAAAAAGTAGTGTATACTTCTCTACTTCCTTAAACAAAACATAAAGGATAATTTTCCCTAGCTTAATGACTCAGAATCATCATTTTGAACTTTAATTACTCTTCAACTCTGTAATAAAATGACATTTTAAAGTTACTGAGGCATTATTAGTGTTAGTCGCCTTTGATACAAAATGATTCTAGATTGCTCTCCTTTTCAGAATACAGTATTTGCTTCTTTTTTATATGCTTTGTGTCTCTGCAGCTATCATTTATCTCTGCTTTTGCTAGACCTAGTGCTGTTAGTTTTCCCAACTTTACATTTCACGTGTGAGTTTTGACCTGTTATAGATTGATACACCAATTAAACATTCTTCTTAGAATTGTGTCTAAAATAATAGTATATGTGTGTTGAATAGGGATGGTATAGCATCCTTATATAAAATAATTTTATTGCACACCTATGTTATATNGAAGATGTTTTTCTGGAATTCTCGATTTTTCAGTGATCCAACAGATGTTGGCAATTTGATCCCTGGTTCCTCTGCCTTTTACAAATCGGATTTGAACATCTGGAAGTTCTTGGTTCACATACTGTTGAAACCTAGCTTGGAGAATTTTGATCATCACTTTGCTACCATGTGAAATGAGTGCAATTGTGTGGTAGTATGAACACTCTTTGGCATTGCCCTTCTTTGGGATTGGATTGAAAACTGACATTTTCCAGTCCTACGGACACTTCCGAGTTTTCCAAATTTGCTGGCATATTGAGTACAGCAGGTTAACAGCACTTTAATTTTTACCAGTTTTCAACAAAAAATGCCTACTCTGATTGATAGTTCCTGTGAGGACAAACATCCAGAAATGGAAAGAAGGATGGGCTACAGACAAGGAATTTTAACCCATTAATGGAGCCTAAAGAAATTCTTGGAAAAAGAGAGAATAAGTAAAGAATCAGATAAATAAATTCAGACTTATTTTATTAGCCCTTTATAGTCTTATATACTGACTTCCTCCTCAGCTAAGACCTTCGAGGGCAGAATCATGCCATCTCTTTTAGTATCTACAGCACCTACCAATGTACCTAACAAATAATGCTCAATATTTTCTTGGTAGTGAAAGGAATGGGTCCTGTAGGAGGCTGTATCTTCCTGTTTTCCTCAGGCCTCTCCTTTTAGATCTTTCTTGCTATTTCAAGTGTGCAGCAAACAAGCCAGAAGAGAGCCATTTGGATATACTTTTGTTTTAAAATAATTATTTTCTTACTCTTTTAAAAAAATAATAATTCTTCTATTTATTTTTTTCACTTATCCAATATTTCTGAGCAGCTGATCTGTGTTAAGGTATTGCTCCATGTCATAGCAATACAGCAATGAACAAAACAGCATACCTTATCATATGTCAGACACTTTGTTAAATGCTTTGGACTTTATTTACATTATCTCAATTACTGATTAAAACCCCTGTGGGGAGGATAAGGATATTTTCTTCAATCTGAAAATAAAATTTCAGAGACTCAAAGCTTAATTAAATTTCCTAGAATCTCACAGCTCAGAAGGAGAAAACAGGAGTCAATGCAAGTTTAGCTGACTCTAATATTTATGCTCTTAATTGCTACGCCTGATGGTTCAGATGGTAAAGAATCTGTCTGCTTGACTGAGCAACTAACACCAATTCTAGACCATGAATAAAGAAATGGGAATTACATAGATCAGAACTTGAATTGTAAGAATTAGTCCAATAAATGTTAATAGTATTTCATGAAAATTTTTAAGAACCAAGTTTTATGAACTTTAATGAATAGCAACTTATTCTTCCCCATATTAAATCTACCACAGATTTTCTTACCAGGAATAATTTAATTTAACTCCTGTAAACAACTCTTTGAGAAGCATCCAGAATGTGCATTGTTCACACTCATTTTCATTTGTTCACCATCTAGGCAGACTTTGACAGCAAATTTATCTATACCAGGATACTATGGACAGTTTTACTTTACAAATGAAGCAAGGCAGTTAAGATTTTTATCCAGATTAATTAATAATATTTTCATTCCTTCAAAAACTGCACTGAAAGTCAGCTATGTACCTTTATTAGGTTACAAAAATAAAATAAATAGAACTATACTCCCTTAGACCTTACATATGGGAGTCGAGGAAATGAAAAATGAATTTAAAAGATAATTCTGATGATGCTTAGTGCTATGAAAAACTGTGAAGAATCTGTGAGTAGGGTGGGTATAGGATAGGAAGGAGGAAGACCTCACTGAAGAGATTTTTTTTTTTTTTTTTGAGCTGAGTCCTACATGGTGAGAAGGAGTCAGCCATATAAAGTTATGGGAGATAAAAAGAAAATGCAAAAGTAAAAAGCACAAACAAACATCATCTGATGAATAACTGAGAAAAAGGCTTTTGGCCTACAAGAGAGCGAACTGAGGGAGGGGCAAGAGATTAATAGAGTGATAGATGAGACCAGATCACATGGGTCCTATGTGTATGACTTTGTAATACATTATCTAAACAAAGACATATTTAATAATAGAGATATTCTTAATAATTATACCAGGACAAAAGGTATTAATCTGGAATTTCCTAGATATACCAGCTGTTTAGATGATTTTAAGCAGAAAAGTGAGATAATGTGGTTTGCATTTCATAGGTCACCACACTGACTGCTTCTGATCAATCTTTGCAGTAATCCTGATAAGAAGTGAAAGTGGCTTCCATGAGATTAATAGTAACAGAGCTGCAAAGAACGTCAGTAATTTCAGATATATTTTATAGATAATGTAGACAAGATGTGGGTTGGATGTGTTAGGAGTGAGAGAAAAAGAATAAGAGTAAGTGCTAGGTTTTTAACTGCAACCTCTAGATGAATTAAGATACCATTTCCTGATCTTGAAAAGATGGCAGAGGAACTGGTTTTAGTAAATGTTTGCAAATGAGTAGAACCAGCAGTCTGATTCTGACTGTATTGAGTTTGAGATTCTGGTTAGAATTACAAGTGGATATATCAAAATACCAGCTGGGATATACTCTCTTTTCTTACCTGCTTATTAGAGCATTTTTGCATTGTAACATGTATCCTCAATAAAACAATATAAAATGGAATTCAAATAGTCCACTAAAGTGATTTTTTTACTCAGCAGTAATTTTTTTTTCACTATCTGGTGTTTTAACTTGCTAATGTTACTTATTTCCTTTCTAGGAAAGTATAGATCTGGGTGAAATAATGTTTTCCCTTTGTTATTTGCCAACTGCTGGACGTATGACATTGACAGTCATCAAGTGCAGAAACCTGAAGGCTATGGATATCACTGGCTCATCAGGTATGCTCACAATTGGCTAACGGGTACATTCCCAAACAAACATGCCATATAGCTGAAATTATGAGTGGCTACTGAATTATTAAGTTTATTTGTCTGTTGTGGGGCACTATGTGCTAAGTTGCTTCAGTTGTGTCCGACTCTTTGTGAACCTATGGACTGTAGCCCACCAGGCTCCTCTGTCAATGGGATTCTCCAGGCAAGAATACTGGAGTGGGTTGCCATTTTCTTCTCCAGGGNATTCCATGGACAGAGGAGCCTGGAGGGCTACAGTCCATGGACTCATAAAGAGTTGAGCACAACTGAAGTGACTGAGCATGCATGCATGCAGGAACAGAGAGAGATAATAAAGTAAATGAACACACCTTAAAGTTTCTTAAATACATTCTTGGAGGAAATTTCTCTTTTTCTATATTTGATAAAGAGGTAAAACCCCATCATTCTCTTTAATCCCTTCATTTAAATCACCACAGTTCTAGAGAGTTCTTTGTAAGTTAATAGTGAACTTTGGTACAGCTCTGTAGAAGAAAAAATGATAAGGACAGAGTAGGGAGGTCAGTAGCATTTATTGAATTAAATAAATAAGAAATAATAACATAGATATAGTAAAAGATGGCATGGGGAGTGCAATCTATAACATTCTGGTTCTTCAGAGCAAAATAAACTTGCATCACAAAAAGTATTAAGAACACTAATGTAGAAAGGATTCCAGGAAAAACTAACTGAATAAAAAATGAAGTACAAGCATAAATATGGATATCATGCTCCTTTCGATATAATAATGTGGAATCTTAGAATATATATCATGTTGTTAATATTTGCATAAAGAAATACTTGAGTGATATATAAAAACTGAGGGGTGGGAAAGTAAGGGTATAGATGGGAAGGAGACTTCTCATTGCACGTCTTTCTCTGTCTCATCTTTTAAAATTTGTTATGAATTTTTATTCATTTTTTAAAATTTGCAATGCATAGTTGAAATATAAAGATAGAAAAGAAATTAATTTCACATTCATTTTGGTGAAAAAGTTTTAAGTAAACAAATATGGAAGAACTTGAGATAAACAATGCATTCTGCAAATTATTGTTTATTTTGCTCTTTCTACCATGTATTGAAAGAGAACCAAATTTCCAGACAAGCAAACAGCAAAGTTGTAATTAAGTTCAAGAATATTTTTTATTTATATGAAGCTTCTCATCAGGGGAGTGCATGCTTTGAGAACATCACCTCATTAAGTCTCACAACAGCCTTGTGAATCAAGTAAGGAACCCGTAAATTATCTTTATCACTAATAGAGAAATGTCATCAGGGACATGATGGGGGTAGTAAATGATAAACCAGGCCTCATTCTCACTGTTAATAAGAGGCTTAGGCCTGGGGCTCATACCACAAAAGTGAGTTTCTTCCTTAGAACATAGTTCCTATTATTAAAACTATATAGGGATGTTTCTATTTTGCAAATAAGTTCATTTATATCATTTTTAGATTTGCATATAAGCAATACCATGCAGTATTTATCTTTCTCTATTGGACTTATTTCACTCAGTATGACTTCTCTAGGTCCATCCATGTTACTGTGAATGGCATTATTTCATTCTCTTTTAATAACTGAATAATATTCCATGAATATTATTTAATAACTGAATTAATATTCCATGGAATATGAATAATATTCCATATATACATATATATATACATACCACATGTTCTTTATCCATTCCACTATCAATGGACATTTATTGTAAAACAGAGTTGCAGCGAACATTGGGATACATGTATCCTTTCGACCATGTTTTTCTCTGGGTATGTGCCCAGGAGTGGGATTGCAGGGTCATATGGTAGCTATATTTTTAGTTTTTGAAGTGAAGTGAAGTGTTAGTTGCTCAGTTGTGTCTGACACTTTGTGACCCCAGGGGCTATAGCCTGCCAGGGTCCTCTGTCCATGGGATTTTCCAGGCAAGCATACTGGAATTCTTAAGGGGGAAAAAGGAATGAGTAGACACTCCCTTCTCCAGGGGATCCTCCCAACCCAGGGATCAAACCTGTGTCTCCAGCATTGTGGGCAGATTCTTTACTATCTGAGCCACCAGGGAAGACCCAGTTTTTGAAGAAACCTTCAGAGTGGCTGTATCAATTTACATTTCCACCAACAAATTAGGAAGATTCCCTTCTTTTCACACCCTCTCCAGCATATATTTTTTGTTGACTTTTTGATAATAGCTATTCTGACTAGTGTGAGGTGATATCTTATTGTAGTTTTGATTTGTATTTCTCTAAGTAATTTGCAAGGTTGAGCATCTTTTCATATGCCTTTTGGCCGTCTATATGTCTTATTTGGAGAAATGTCTATTTAGATCTTCAGCCCATTTTTTGATTCGGTTGTATTTCATAAATTTTTATTTATTTCTTTATTATTTATACTTTTGCTGTGTTGGGTCTTTGTTGCTGCATGTGCTTCTCTCTAGTTGAGGTGAATGGGAGCTACTCTGTAGAGACCATTTGGGTTTCTCAATGTTGTGGCTTCTATTGTAGTGGGGCATGGGCTCTAGGGCTCATGGGCTTCAGTAGTTGCTGCATGTGGGTTCAGTAGTTGTGGCTCCTGGGCTCTCGAGTGTATAGGCTTAAGAGTAGTTGTGGCTACTTCCATGGAAGTGGGATCTTCTCAGATCAGGGACTGACCCCATATCTCCTGCATTGGCAGGTGTATTCTTTACCACTGAGCAACCAGGGAAGCCCTGGGTTGTTTGTTCTGATGATGTTAAGCTGCATGAGCTGTTTGTAAATATTGAAAACAAACCTCTTGTCAGTCACATGATTTGCAAATATTTTCTCCATTTCTGTGGATTGTCTTTTAGTTTTGTTTAT